GCCTTATAGAGAGGACAATGCTGCTGCCTGGCTTCTGGAGGCTTGCCCAGCACTCACACTATTTGTAGTGACTTCACCCACTTCCCAAATGCAACTGGTGACCTTCTAGTTGTTGCTCTCATGATGAATGCCAGAGTGGGTGGGTTTGTGTATGTTCTAAGACTATGGGGGCCCTTTAAATGGACTCTTCTGAGAGACTGGCAGTTTCTTCCAAACCCCCCCCCCCCATTGGTTTTTATAGCCAGAAGTTATGGGGCTTTATCTTCCTGGTGTTGGAAACCTGGGCAGTGTGGTTTTGCCTGGGACTGGGATCGCTGTCTCCCCTGACATCCATCCTGATCTTTACCCACCACATGTGAATATTGGGCCACCTGTTCTGCCACGGCCACCTTTCTGCACCACACGGCCTCTCCTCACCTCTCTGACCCAACTCTGCATCTCTACCCCTCTTACCTGTCTGGATGAATGTGGCTTCTTTACCTTCTTGGTTGTTGGACTTCCATACAGTTCAATTTTCTGGTCATTCTGAGTGTTTTTCGTTTTGATGTTAGTTGTAATTCTTCTTGTGGTTGCACAAGGAGGCAAAACATGTCTACCTATGCCTCTTACTAGACCAGAAGTCAGCACCAGAAGTTCTCACCTCTTTATCTTGTTTGAGGATTGAAATAAAATTGTACAGTGGGGAGGAGACCTCAGGGGCTCTCTGGTCCAGTGGTTCTCAAAGTTTATTGATTCAGGTTTGGGGAGCTTGTTGCAAACTCAGATTCCAGGCCCTTTATTCTCAGAATCTGATTCAGTGAGTCTGCGTTGGGGCCCAGGGATCTGTATTTACTTTTTTTAAATTTTTCTTTATATTTTTTCCTTTTTGTTGTTTTATTGTCCATGCTATTACAGATGTCCCATTTTTTCCCCTTCATCCCCATCCAGCACATCCCCTACTTCCATAGTCAATCCCCACACCATTGTCCATGTCCATGGGTCCTTCATGTATGTTCTTTGACTAATCCTCGCACCTTCTTTCAGTCAGTCCCTACAATCCCACTCCCCTCTTACAACTGTCAGGTTATTGCCCGATTCTATGCCTCTGGTTCTATTTTGCTCATTAGTTTATTTTGTTCATTAGATTCCTCTTATAAGTGAGATCATATGATGTTGGGAACTGTCCCACTTGGTTTCAGGGACTGTAGCTTTGCTGACAGGAGAGAAGGCCCCAAAGCTGGAGCTGAGTTGAGCAAGGAGGCCTTGGGAAAATAAGCCACTGAGGAGACAAAACCTCCCTCGCATCGCCCTGCTTGGCCTTGGAGGATGGCTGGTTAGTCAATGATGGGTAAGAGCCCTCGATGGTAGGGGCAACCTAAGACATAAACAGTCACATAGGGGCTGTCAGGGAAGGACTTGGGGGACACGGAGAAGGGGCAAAAGACCCTCACCCCTCAGCTTTGTCATGGCCAGAGTCCTCTTTCTATCTGAAAGAAGTCTCCTTATCTTTGGCTGCTCTGCTCCACCTGCCTGATGGGGTTAGTGAAACAATACTAAAGGCATGTACAGCCCTAAACTGGATTGGGCGGTTTCTTGGGACAATCAGGCCTGGGAAGGAATGCATTAAATCCTATGAAACTTACTTTGCTAAGAGTGCCCTCAGGTTAATGAGTACTGATGTTTGGGGTTGAGCATAGAATGTGATCAGTTTCCCAGATTTCAGGGCCAAATGGGCACCACCTTGTTTACCAGACCCTGACCTGAGGCAAATCTCTTGTGTTCCTTCAATTGTTATCTATGATCTCTATAAACATAGCCTTTGACTTTGATTGATGAGCTTTGCATGCATGCTGCATACCCCTGTGCAAATCATTTTCAATAAAAGCCACTTCAAGAGATGGGCTCAGGGCATTCTCCACTAGAGGGAATTTCCACCCCCTTTTTCTGGCAGACCGATAGGTGTCTAGAACAACTTATTTTTTTTCCTCCATCCACGGCGACCTGTCAGTGGGACTCTGTGTGGGACGCGGTGCCCGCCCCCCATCAATATGACATTTGTCTTTCACCAGCTGACTTATTCCACTTAGCATAATAGTCTCCAGTTCCATCCATGCTGTCACAAAAGGCAGAAATTCCTTGTTTTCCTCTCCTGCCTAGTGTTTCTTTGTGTAAATGTACCACAGTTTTTGATCCATTTATCTACTGATGGGCACTTAGGCTGTTTCCAAATCTTGGCTGTTGTGAATAGCGCTGCTATGAACACTATGCAAAAGTTCTCTTGAATTGGTGTTTTATGATTCTTAGGGAATTTCCCACCAGTGGAATCGCTGGGTCAAAAGGCAGTTCCATTTTTAATTTTTTGAGGAAAGTCATGCTGTTTTCCACAGTGGCCACACCAGTCTGCATTCCCACCAACAGTATACTAGAGTTTCTATATGATAGCCATTTTGGCAGGTGTGAGGTGATATCTCATTGTGGTTTTAGTTTGCATCTCTCTGATGGCTTGTGGTGTTGAACATACTTTCATATGTCTCTGGGCCTTCTATGTCCTCCTTGGAGAAGTGTCTATTCAGGTCCTTTGCCCATTTTTTAACTGGATTGTTTGTCTTTCTGGTGTTGAGTCATATGAATTCTTTATATATCTTGTAGATTAGACCCTTGTCTGATGTATCATTGTCAAATATGTTCTTCTATACAGTCAGTTCCCTTTACATTTTGATGATGGTTCCTTTAGCCATGCAGAAGCTTTTTAATTTCATGTAGTCCCATTTGTTTATTTTTTCCTTTATTTCCCTTGCCCTAGGTGATACAATAGCAAAAATACTGCTACATGAGATATCTGAAAGTTTACTGCCTATGTTTTCCACTAGGACTTTATAGTATCCCAACTTATATTTAAGTCTTTTATCAACTTTGAGTTTATTCTGGTGTATGATGTGAGTTGGTGATCTAGTTTCATTTTTTTGCATGTACCAGCCCAGTTCTCCAAACACCATTTATTGAATAGGCTATTTTTACTCCATTGTATGTTCATGCCCCCTTTGTCAATTATTAATTGACCATAGAGACTTGGGTTTATTTCTGGGCCCTCTATTTTGTTCCATTGATCTATGTGTCTGTTCTTATGCCAGTACCAGATAGTTTTGATTACAGTGGTCTTATAGTTATGGTGCCATTCTTAAAAGAGTACACAAAATTTGCTCAGATTCCTCTTTAGCACTGAATGTTTTTTGTTCTGTCAATTTCTCACACATTTTTTTCTTTGTCCAAATAATATAAAAGGTAACCAGTTTGATCATTTTTTGAGCCTCCTTTTATGAACTGAGCATCATGTTGTAATTCTTCTGTGTGTACATATTAAACTGGTTTTCCTCCTGTTAACCTTGTCTATGTCAAATTTATTATTACTTACTAGTCCACCCATAAGAACTAAAGAAGGGTAGAGGGGTGGGAATCCCGGGGTGGGAATCCCCCTCCCCAAAAGGAGAAGAGAGAGAAGTGGGTTTTTCCCTACATAAGAGGAGGAAAGATAAGGGTGGATTTATTTCCTAATTCTCTCCATTTCTTTTTTTTTTTTTTTTTGGACAATGGTCATGTACTATCAGAAAAACCAATAAATATATTTTTATTAGAAAATAAAAAATATTTCTGGCTGGTGTGCCTCATCTGTTGAGCACTGGAGCACTAGGAACCAAAAAGTTGATGGTTCGATTCCTGGTCAGGGCACATGACTGGGTTAGAGGCCAGGTCCCCCATTAAGGGGCCTCTGAGAGTCAGCCATTCACATTGGTGTTTCTCTCCCTATTTTTCCCTTCTTTCTCCTCTGTCTAAAAAATAAGTAAAATCTTTAAAAAAAAAGAGAGAAGAAAAAAATACATTCAAAGTCCATAGAAAAGCTTTATTATTGTTATTTACTCTTCATCAATCTATCTTCATGCCCTAAATTCCTGATTAACATTGTTTCTCAACTTTACCAGCATGTAATTAGATTTACCTGGAAGCTTTTTAAAATGCAGGTGCTTGAGCCCCACCCAGAACAATTGGTCTGGATCTCTGGAGGTAGGGGTGGGCATGTATAGTTTTTAAATATTTCCCTAGATACCCTGGCTGGTGTGGCTCAGTTGGCTGGAGTGTCATCCTGTGCACCAGGGGCTTGGGGGTTGGTTTCCTGATTGGGGCACGTAGCTGGGTTGTGGGTTTGATTCCTGGTTGAGGTGTATACGGAAGGCAGCCAATGGATGTTTCTCTCTTGTGTAGATATTTCCCTTTCTCTTTCCCTTCCTCTCTCTCTAAAATCAATAAAGATATTTAAAAAAATTTTTAAAAATCTCCAGATAAATCTGATGTGTGGTTGGGATTGCAAACCACTGATTGTCATTTCAAGAAAATTTAATGAGTGCAGGTCAAAATGACGTGTAACTATGTAACCAGTTGCATTCAGACTCAATAACTATTTCTCACTGTAGAGAGGGTGTTGGCCATGGAAATAGCAAATTAGGGGAAGAAATGTACTATGAAGGATCATGGGAAAGTTTTTGTGGTGAGACAATATAATAGAGCCAAAAGGGCACTTTCTCTGGAGTCAGCTTTGGTTTGAATCCTGTCACTTGGCCAATTTCGCTTTGCGAATTGCAATTGACTTGAGACTCAGTTTCCTCGTCTGTACAATGGGGAGTAATTAATAGAATATTTGTTGAATGAATTACATGTAGCAGAGCGCCAAAAGCACTGGAAGTGGAGTAAGAAGGCCTCCTAGGACTGCCACGGAATTCCCAGATGGCCTTAACCGTGTTTCCTCTCCACCTTGGGCCTGAGTTTCCTCTCCCAGCTCTGACCATTTTGGTTTCCCTGCTGCTCAGGTCTAGCCGGCCAGACGGCATAGTGCCCCTGGGCGCCGCCGCTGGAGGGCAGTGGTGCCTAGTGCCGGCACCGCCCACTTCCCGGGGAGGCGAGGCGGGCTGGGTGGGAAGGGCTAGCACCGGTGTAGAGAAGCACGGTCCAGCGGCTTCTGGCTCAGTCTCCGGCGCGCCTCTCCGCAGGCCCTTGCGGTCCCGCCATGTCTTGCTACATCTACCAGCTGCCTTCCAGGGTGCTGGATGACTTGTGCCGCAACATGGACACACTCAGCGATTGGGACTGGATGCATTTTGGTGAGTGGGTCTCCCAGCGACCCCGCCCGGGGCTGGCCTCCAAATCCCCTCCTACCCTCTCCTAGCCTCTCTCTAAGTGGATCCTGATCCAAGGGGCTCTGCCTGCTGCCATCTGGCCCCGGGACTCGCTGTGTGCCCAGAGGCAGGCCACTGCTCCCTCTGCGGATCCTAGTGCGATCATCTGGAAGGCGTTTTGTGATCTTGGAAGATTTCTGCTGTCACTCTGTCGCGAAGTAATGACCGGCTTGACTGTGCTGTTTACAGTAAAGCTGATAATAATAGCTATGAGCAGTTAATGTAAGCTATCAGTGTGCAGGGCCCTGATGTAAGCACTTGGCAGGCATTATCTTACTTAGTTACAGCCAATAAAGTGCATATTTCTCTTACCCCTTGGAGGAGGAAACGGAGTTAGAAAGGTAGAGGCACTTGCCAGGGGACATGGCTTTGCTAAGGGACAGAATGTTGTTTGAAACCCGGGGCCTGGCTCCACCAGGGCTTCGTAACTCCTTGGAGGGGCTCGTTTGTGCCTGATGATTGCCGAAGATTCCTGGGGCATCCAGGGGGAGGCTGTGCCCATGGTCCTCAGGTTCCTAAGCAGAGGTCTGCATTCCAGGCCCACCACCTCCCAGCTGGTGATTTTGGGTGAGTTCCTCAACTCCTCTGAGCCTTAGCTTTTTAGTCTGTAAAATGGAGGTGGTGGTGAGAAATGAAAATTGTATGAAAAGCATATGACACCACAGTGTCAGAAAATTTTGTAAGTAATATGGAAGTGTAACAATAATCATTCTTGGCCCTGCCTGGCTAGCTCAGTTGGTTAGAGTATTATTTTGATATGCCAAGGTTGTGGGTTCGATCTGGGTCAGGGCACATACAAGTAAAAAACCAATGAATGCATAAATAAATGGAACAACAATGCAATCTTTCTCTCCTTCCACTCACCTCTCTTGCTCTCAAATCAATTAAAAAATATTAACAATGATAATTCTTAGTTTTGTTTTGGTTTTAAAGATTTTATTTATTTGTTTTTAGAGAGAGGGGAAGGGAGGGAGAAAGAGAGAGGGAAACATCGGTTGTGCTCTTGGTTGCCACCTGGGGACCTGGCCTGCAACCCAGGCATGTTCCCTGACTAGGAGTTGAACCAGCAACCAACTACCTTTCTGTTCGCAGGCTCGCTCTCCATCCACTGAGCCACACCAGCCAGGGCCATTTTATGTTTTAAGTCAGTGTCACTCATGTCACTTTATTTTTTAAATAATTATCCTTTCTTTAAAATTTAGATGGTAACATATACCACATGTTATATATGTACAGTTGAGGGAAATGAATATGTGTGTGTTATTAATCAGTTTGAGCAAATAACATATATTTTAACCTAGTGGTTCTCAATCAGGGGTGATTTTGCCCCCTAGGGAACATTTGCCAATGTCTGGAGACATTTTTGCTTGTCACAACTTGGGAGAAGAAGTGGGTAGAGGCCAGGGATGTTGCTCTACATCCTATAGTACACAGGACAACCCCCTCCATAAAGAATTATCCGGTCCAAATTGTCAATAGTGCCGAAGTTCAGAAACTGTTTTAAACCAGTAACAAAAATTATAAATGCTTATTGCAAAATGCTGTGGGAAACAACCAAATAAAGCTCAAATACCACCACTCAGGGATAACCATTTTTAATATTGGATTTAAAACAACAACAACAACAACAACAACAAAAACAGCGCTGGCTGGGTTGCTCAGTTGGTTAGAGTGCTGTCCAGTACACCAAAAGTTTATGGGTTCGATTCCTGGTCAGGGCACATACCTAGGTTGCGGGTTTGATCCCTGGTCAAGGTGCATTCAGCAGACAACCAATCAGTGTTTCTCTCCCACATCAATGTTTCTGTCCTCTCCCCCCACGCCTCCCACTCTAGAAATCAGTGAACATATCTTTGGGTGAGGATTTAAAAACAAAACAAAACAAAACAAAACAACAATAGTAGCTAACATTTATTGGCTTCTTACCATGTGCCACCAGAGTGCTAGGTGTTCAATGACTTCTAACCTTAAAAAAAATATTTATTTTTATATACACATTTTTCAAAAATCATATAATTTTGAACATTCTAATAGCTTGCTTTTTCACTTAAAATATATCACTAATATTCCTCCTTGCCAAGCAATAGTCTTTAGCAACATGGATTTATTTTCAGTGTGTTTTTATTATTTTGATGAATAAAAGTAACAAATGCACTAGATTAACTGATGTAAATAATAAACCTGTGATAGAGAAAGGTAAATATCTTTCCCCTCCCTGGTCCTCAGCCTTCCTGTTCCCCTCCCTAGAGACAGTCAGTGGTAACTTGCCAAGAAACCTCTGAGAATGTATATTCCTCCCTGATTTTCTAGATTACACTATGTGCCTTTGCTGGGGTGATCTGTGATTTAACTACTTTGAATGTTTCCTGGGCAGTGGACAAACTTTGTGTAAGAGACTCCCTCTAGTTTTTTTCATTTTGGCCTCAATTGTGAATGCCAGAACAACTTCTAGGAAATTAATTTAGAAGGGACACTTATGAGCTTTTATCAAAGAGCTTTATTGAGATATAATTCACATACCATACAATTCATCCATTTAAAACGTACAGTTTGGTGACATTTAGTATATGCAGAGTTGTACATCCCTCTTTGCAATCTTAGAACATTTTAATTACCCTCAGAGAAATCCTGTGCCCCTTCACCTGTCACCCCAACATTTCCACACACACCTCTCATTTCCCCCTGCTTTATGTATTGCCTAATCTGGACACTTTATATAAATATAATCATACAGTAGTGGTTCTTTTTTTCTTTTTAGATTTTATTTATTTTTAAAGATTTTATTTATTTATTTTTTAGAGAGACGGGAAGGAAAGGAGAAAGAGAGGGAGAGAAGCATCAAGGTGTGGTTGCCTCTCATGCGTACCTTACTGGGGACCTGGCCTGTACCCCAGGCATGTGCCCTGACTGGGAATCGAACCAGCGACCCTTTGGTTCACAGGCCAGCACTCAATCCCCTGAGCCATACCAGCTGGGGCAATATGTGGTTCTTTATTACTGACTTTGATTTAGCATGTTTTCATTTTGTAGCATAATCAGTGCTTAATTTCTTTTTATTACTGAACAATATTCCATGGTATGGATATACTGCATTTTATCAGTTGGTGGACATTTAAGTTCTTTTCACTTTTTGGCTATTGTGAATAATGCTTCTGTGTGCGTTCATGTGCAAGTTTTTGCGTGGACATATATTTTCATTTCCTTCGGGTATATATTTTAGGAGTGGGATTACTGAATCATAGGGTTACCTTCTATTTAACATTTTGAGGAACTACCATACTGTTTTCCAAAGTGTATGAGGGGTAGTTTTGCAAGTGTTTGAGGGTTCATTTCTCTGCATATTCACCCAACACTTGTTACTGCCCATCTTTTTGGTTCTAGCTGTTGGAGCAGGTGTAACATGATGCCTTGTGATTTTCATTTGTATTTCCCTAATGACTAATGATGTTGACCATCTTTCATGCGCATACTGGCCCTTTCAGCCTCTTTGGGGATACCTCCAACTTTTGAGTCCCTGGAGACACCAGAATTGCTCAAAGTCCTAAGAGGCTTTCTGTTGTGGTTTAGGATATAATCCAAACTCCTCACCAGGCCTGCCCAATCTGACACAATCTGACCATGCTGATTCTGAGCTCCTGTCCTCCCACGCCCTCTTGCTCATTCTGCTCTAGCCACATTGTCCTCCTTGGTCCAGACTCAGGGCCTTCGCTCTTGCTGTTTCCTCTGCCTGGGACATTCTTCTACCTGTGCTCCCCAAGACTAGCTTTCTAGTGTATTATTTTCCTCTTGCTGCTGTAACAGATTAGCATAAATTTAGTGGTTTAAGAACAGCACAGATGTATTCTGTTATAATTTTGGAGGTCAGAAGTCCTAAAACCAAGGAGAGAGCAGAGCTGCATTCTTTCTGGAGGCCCTCGGGGAGGAGAATCCGTTTCCTGGCCTTTACTAGCTTCCAGAGGCTGCCTGCATCCCAGGGCTTGTGGCCCCTTCCTTCAAAGCCAACAGCATAGCCTTGTCAGATTTCTCTTTCTGACCTCTGCTTCTGTCATCATATCTTCTCTAAATCTGACACTCCTGCTTTCCTCTTAGAAGGACCATTGTGATTGCACTGGGCTCACTCAGATAATCCAGGATAATTTCATTTTAAAACTCTAATTTAAGCCCATCTACCAGTTCTCTTTTGTCACGTAAGATGCCATATTCTCAGGCTTTGCATCTAGGACCCTGACACCTTTGGCAGGAACATTGTCCTTTAGGTCTCAGTTCATGTGTCACCTTGTTTGAGAGACCTACCCTGCCCATTATTCTCAGTCCCATCCCCGTGTTTTATTTCCTTCGTTCCACTTAGAAGCTTTGACATTACCTTGTTCCGTTTGGTTTGTCTCTTCCCAGAGAATGGCAGCTCCATGCAGGCAGGGACCGCACCCATTCCTTTCACTCCTGTATTTCCAGCGCCTGGGACAGTCCCTGGCTGAGGGCAGATATCAGTGACCACTTGAACGTATGATGAGCTGAAGGATGTATGAACAGCGAGCACGTGGGGTGTGTCCGCTTCTTGGTCCCACAGAGATGGCTTTGAGCCCATGGTCAGCCAGCTCTTCATGTTGGACCGGGGGTCACTGGGCAGGGAGCCAGTCATGCCCCCAGTGAGCTGGTCCTTGCCACGTCACTACGCTTTCTGATTTCCTCTTCAGCAGAACCAGTGATTCCGATTGTCCTTCCAGTCCTGGACAGTCTTGGTTTTTGCAATCGTTTGAGAAAATACAGCCACTTAGGGCAGGTTGTAGTCCTGGAGAATGGGGTTGGGAACATCCTTAAAGTGACTCAGAATCTCACAGCCACAAATACGCAGGATCTTTGAATCTGAGAGCTCCTGACAGATAACATAGCTGTCCCCAGTCATTTCTCTATCATTACAGCCGCATCCATTTTTGCCCTTGGGGGAAAACAGGCTTCTTATAGCTTCGCCCACCACAGGTGTATTTTGAGGGACCCAGGGACAGGGGTTCCCTTGTTGGACTGCTCCCCATCTCACTCACTCCTGCATATCCAGCCTTCGTGCAGAGTCCTGCTTTGTCCCTGCCCAGTTGTGTGACTTCAGGCAAGTGACTGTCCTCACCTGTAAAGTGGGGGTGAATAGCTCAGAGGCTTAGGGGACATGATGGTGGGGATTGTCCTTAGCGCTTTCCCCTTCTCTCAATCAGATAAGGGCCATTTGACCCTAGGGAGGGTCAGTTCAGGAGGCTGTGCCAGGCCTGTTCCAGAGCGCTTTGAAGAGGGCAAGCTTTTCTACTGCATCAGGTGAACTTCGGCAGGATTCAGGAGCTCAGACCTGGAGGGATGGTCTCCTCATGGTGTTAACCAGTGGGGATAAAAACAGGTTTTGTTTTTTTGTAGAGCATAGATAGTTTAACAATTACAGCTAACGTTCATATCTCATTTACCATGTGCCAACCACTATTCCATCCAAGTGCTTCTATACATATAACTAACCTAATCCTTTCAACAACCTCTGAAGCAAGTGCTGTTATTATCCTCATTTGCAGATGAGGAAACTGAGGCACAGGGAGAGGGGAAGGGGCTTCCCTAAGCACACAGCAATTAAGTAGCAGAGATAGCATTTGAACCCAGGCCTCCAAATCCAAAGTCTGGGCCTGGACCATCATTGAAACTGTCCTGGTGATATAAGCATGTATTTTTATATTTGTAGAAAAATCTGGAAGATTAGAAGCAAAAGTGTAAGCAGTGCTTTTCTTGGTATCTTCCAAGTGGGATGTTGTGGAGACTTTAATTTTCTCCCATTTTCCAAATGTTCTATTACCTGTGTGTGTGTGTGGAGAAAAGAGGTATGGATGTAACAGGGCCCTCGGCAGTGCCTCATCCGCCCGAGATCCCTCTCTTGTTTGGACCCTGTTTTAAAGGTGTGGTTAGGTGCTGCTAGGTCAATACCTTAAGATTCATCACTTTCATGGAGCTAGGATGTCCAAACTACAGGCACCTTAGAGTTCAGTTCCTATTTCTCCTGCGTGGCCTTTGAGGAAATGCAACCCACCGAGGCTTAGGGCCTCGGATGAGTTCCCACCGCCGTGGCGCTGCCTGGGCAGCCCTGCAGTTCTGGTTTTCTCGTGACATTATGCTGCCTCCAAGAGAGGGAGGCGTGAACAAAAACTTCCTTCTGCTGTCCAAAGCAGCCCCTGACCCTACTGACATCACTTCCCACTGTCCTGGAATCTGGCCTGGGGTTTCCAGTGACTAAAAGTTGCAGCTCAAGGAAATTTCCATTCGCACAGGGCACTTTCCTGGAGGCTTTATCTCTGCAGGAAACTGTCACACCCTTCCTTGTTCCTTCAGAGGAAAGGAGATTGTGCAACGTGATTATGTCCCTCCTGGCTCTGATATCTAACATTGTATCCATGGGTCTTAGTATCAAGTCCAAACCCCTAGCCCAGCATTCCAAGGCCATAGTTATATTTTCCCAGGCTTTACCTCTTGTACTCCCTTCCTCACTCAGTTCGTTTATGTTTGTATTTTTCAAATAGAAAAGCTCCATGGCTTCTGGTTTACTCACCACAGGATCTCTAGAGCTTGTCACAGCCCCGGAGCACAGTAGTGCCCAATCATATTGTGTTGAGTGAATGAATGAATGAATGAATGAATGAATGAACAAACGAACGATGATGTTTACGTAGATTCTTGCTCTGTGATTTCTGAAACCCTAGAACTGAAGCATGATTATTTTATTCCTTCTTAAATAAAATGCCTTTCTCACTTCAGTAAACTCCACGGAATACTTTGTAACCATTCAGACAAGATCCGGCATGTTCAAAAAAGCCATTTATAAAAAGGTTATAACAACCTGGAAAACGCTTATGGTATAAAGTTAATAAATAATAGCAGCCTGCAAAATCTTTCAGTCTGGTGATAACTGCATCCAGAACTACACCTGAGTATGCGTTCGGGAGGGGGTGAGAAGGGAAAATACCCTAATAGGACACTGTGTAACTTGTTTTATTACTTTTCTCCTGCATTCCCCAAATTTCCCTTAGTGAAAAACCATTAATTTTATAATAAAAAATGAGAAAAACAAATGCACTATTTTTAGTATTGCCAGTAGTAGACCCCTACAAATTTCATGCAGTTCTTCCAAGTTGGAAAAGTGCTTTTAGATCTCTTGACCCTTATTATAACAGCTCTGTGAGGATGGTGGGCCATGGTGGGTTGGATTAATTAATTAATTCATTCATTCACTTGTGTTTCCCCTGATAGGGTAGGGACTTAGGGGTGAGGAGAATGAGGTGCTCAGGGTAAATTTTAAAGAAGCGTAAGGAGGCACCGACTCTTCAGATGTTGCATTACTGGCGATGTTGGCAATGAAGTGGCAAAGGATCTTACTGGCAAAGTTGGACGTGGTTCTTGAATTTGGCAAAGGAATAATTCAGAGCCAGGACCTCAAATTATAAGAGAAAGTTTATTGAGAAAGTTTATTTAGAATGTTACAGAGGTAGTGAGTGAGCCAGCTGAAAAAAGCTCAGGAAACAAGTTACAGAGGCAGAAGAAGGGCCCTTGGAACTTGATTTTGGCAGAGGAAACACACCTGGAGGGAAGGAGCGGTGGAAGGGAGAGGCGTGGGTGCGCTCCGGAGATGGAGAGCATGCACTGGGGCCTCAGTCTTGAGGGTTTTAAAGGCTGGGAGTTAATAAAATTATATAGGTTTCAGGTGTATGATTCTGTAATGCTTCAGTTCAATAAAAACGAGCAAATGGCTCTGGCTGGTGTGGCTCAGTGGATTGAGTGTTGACTTATGAACCTAAAGGTCATGGGTTCGATTCCTGTTAAGGCAAATGCCTGGGTTGTGGGACAGGTCCCCATTCGGGGCCGTGCAAGGCAACAGATTAGTATTTCTCTCACATATCGATGTTTCTCTTCATCTCTTTCTTCCTCCCTTCACTTCTTTCTAAATATAAGTAAATAAAATCTTTAAACAAACAAAGATAAATAAAGGCTGGGAGTTTAAGGGAAGTCTTAGGGGAGGATCTTAATAGAATGTTCATGAGCTTTATGGTAATACTCCAAAATAAGATTGATTCCATCCTTGGGTGTGCTTGGTACAAATGGCACTAACTAGCTTTCTGGTATCTATTTCCCTGAGTAGGGTGATTTAAACTATTTACCCTTCGGTTGGGGAGGAAAAGTGTAAACCATTTACTTTTTTTTTTTTTGAGAAAAAATTATTTTCTAATTTTTTTAGAGAGAGAAAGGAAGAGAGAGAAGCATTGATTTGTTGTTCCATTTATTTATTCATTCATTGGTTGATTCTTATACGTGCCCTGACCAGGGAGTGAACCTGCAACCTTAGTGTATCTGGATGATGCTCTAACCAACTGAGCTACCTGTCCAGGACTTAACTGCTTATTCTTCAGTGTCCTTGGTTAGGAAAGATAGGATTTATGATTTACTGTATAGCTGTAAACTGCTTGGCCATTTAACTACCTGTCTGTTTCCCTAGTCCACTTGTCCTGGCTTACTAGCCTGTCTCACAAGTGCATGGTCAGCCCTAAGACTGAACCCCTCCTTACATTTTGCCCTCTGGGCACCTCCCCTGCCTTACCCTCATCTTGGCCCTGTCCCCGCTCTGTGCCAGGCACTGTTCTCTGTTCTGGGGATCTATTAGTGAACAGACTGCACAAAATTCGTACATGGGCTTCTATTTTGGGGGTGGGGGAAAGGTAGGCAAAGTTGTTACCCTGCTGTTACAGTTGAGGAAACAGGTTCCACAGTGGAAGTGACTTACCCAGGGCAAGTAAGCAGCTAAAGCTCTAGACCCCTGACTTCTAGCGTCCATTGGTCTTTCTCCAAAGTCTTGTGTGGTAGCAAAGTGGACATTTAGGTTCAAGTGTTGATGTGCTGGTCCATGTGCGTATTAAATGGAATCAGCATTATAACTTGGGCTTCCTGTGGATCCCAGCTGATGGTAGAATTTTAGGTTTGGTAGGGGGACAAATGGGGAAAATATTATTAGCAAAGCTCTCTCATGGAGGGATGGCTTTTCTAACTCTAAGCAGGTCCTCTCAACTTGCCTTCCAGCCTCCTATGTGATCACAGACCTGACCCAGCTGCGGAAGATCAAGTCGATGGAGCGCGTGGAGGGTGTGAGCATCACCCGGGAGCTGCTGTGGTGGTGGGGGATGCGACAGGCCACCGTCCAGCAGCTGCTGGACCTCCTGTACCACTTGGAGCTCTACCGTGCCGCCCAGATCATCCTGAACTGTGAGTAACCAAGATGGCCCTGCGTGGCTGTCCCTTGAGTGTGTTCCAGCAGGAGCTGTGCTCTGGCTTTAACACCTTTTTTAACCTTAAAAAATTTTTTTTGAAGGAAAGAGTTTATCATCCAGCTAAGAAATTAGTCACAGAGGTTACCTCTGTGGTCACTGGTGGAGAGGGAGGTCACACTCTGGCTGTCCAGATGCAGAGCCCTCCTTCTTAGCTTTTCCCATGGGAACATCACAGAACGCAGCATTTGGACTTTTAGGAGACAGTGCCATTTTGTCTGTCAGCTTCTGTTGTGCACAGAGCTCAACTCAAATCCTTGCTTTCCTGTCCCAACCACCCCTGTCCTCTCAGGGCTGTGAGGGTCTGCCTTAGTACTCCAAACCTCTTTCTCTCCCCCTTGGCCGTGCTGATTAAAGTTGCTTGAGGAAGAGAGATTAAAACCTGCCTCCACATCCACAAATACCCTCGCTATTCTTGCATTGGCTATGTTTTTGGTATTGCTTTGAGTCATCAGGCAAGACATCCCCCTCTCTCCCCTTTCTATATCTCCCTCCCCGCTTCCCCTGAAAAAAAGTGATATAAATTTCTGTTACTTTTTGAGGTGAATATAGAGGGTGTGTGTGAAGCATTTTAAATTTCTGTATCCCAGGTGGTCAAAGCCAGCCTCCCTTCCCTAATTGTAGCATTAATTAAACCTTATTTTGCTTGTACTTGTTGAAGATTGTTTATGACCTTGCTCATTTGCCTCTGGGAGTTTGGGAAGCTGACTTTTGCCTACCATTTAAAGGGCTTTAAATAGATTTTCATAAAACTGCTTGACCGTCGCATACATCTAAAGACTGAGGTGGTTAGTGGCTTCCTGAGAGACTTACGTCTCCAGGTCACATTATTTGTATTTAACAGAGGCTTTCTGAAGGTTGGGCCTGAACTGAAAGGTGATATGTGGGAGCCATTGGGGACCATGTAGGCATCAAGTCTTTTGAAATCATGTACTGTGGGCGGCTGCTGGTATGATAGTATGAAGAGCTGGGTATGCGGGTCTCTGTTGCTTGATATTTTCTTGGCCATAATCACAAAGACCATGTTATTCAATTTGTCAAACATCAAATACCATAGGAATTAGAATAAATTAGTACAGGAGGCTTATTACCTGGCTACCCATTCCATCTTCCAGCAAATCTGCTTGCCGATGTCAACCTCTTTTTATTCTTTAAGCCATTTCTTGGTAGTCTCCTGTGTTAGCATCCCAGGATCATTGCGGGTACTAAGGGCAAACTACAGTGACTTAGATAAGACAGTTTATTTCTCTCCCCTGTTTCAGTCCAAGCTGCCCAGGGCTGATGGGGCAGCTCCGTGGTGTGGAGGACCAGGTTCCTGCTTTTTCATTGCTCTGCTCTCTTGGACACCTGGCTCCCAACTCGTACCTGAGAGGACTATCCTGTGCCCCGACATGCACATTCTAGCCAGTAAAAAAGGGCGTGCCTAGAAAGCTGCACACCTAACTTGCTTTCACAAGCAATTGGCCAGGACCTAGTCACATGATCACTCCCGGTTGCAAGGTAGGCTGGGAAATGTAATCTTTAGCTGGGAGGTTATGTGCACAACTAAAGCTTCTATTACTACAAAATAGGAGGGAATACATTGGAGGGACAGCAGCCTCCCTACAGCCCTCCACTGTGGGCCATCTAAATATCCATACACACCTGTCTTCCCACACAGAAAACACGCTCACCCGTTCCCCAAGGGAGACAGGCCTGGAATCAACTCCTTCCTTCAGCTCAAGGGTCAGGCTCTATGGGTGATTCATATTAGTCTTCTCTACCAGTGGTGGAGTCTGAACAGCAATTCAATCAAAACTCTCATTAGAAATGAGGAACACCCTGTACTACTTGTTACAATAGTTGACAAATTGGGCTGACAGGAATGGTAAAAGGTCCTTTTTGCCAGGGGAGTAAGTCCTTTGCTTGGTCCATTTGACAGCTCCTTGGTTTCAGTAAACCAGTGATTCTCAAAAGTGTTTTTCCAGATTTTTATGTATCAGCAGCCCCTGGGGAACTTGTTAGAAATTCAGATTCCTGGGCCTCACCTCATCTGCTGATTCAGAAACTCCAGGGGTAGTGTCTGATTCTGAGGCAGATGGAGGTTTAAGAACCACTGCTCTAACACTTGGTTCTCTAATCTCTGGCTGCTTTGGTGGGATGGAGGTGGGGAAGGGGACAGGCATTGCTGGGAGTCCCCTGCTTGTTATTTTCTGTGGCCTCATCTGAAGTGGGACGTGAAGAGAGTCTGCCCTAACAGAGGGCCTCACGGCTTTCACAGCCCACTTCCTGCTCCTGAGGGTTTGGGAGCCTGAGAGTAGCTGGAGGGCTCAAATAATTACACGCTTTTGTCTCAACGGGCCTGTGGTTTCTTTGGCAACACAATTCTCATGAAAAACTCGAAGCCTTTTGTCTTGGCTTCTAATCATTTCTGACTCAGTGTAGACATATGTTAGCTCTTAACCCAGGAATGTTTGATTTCTCATTTAGTGGCCTGTGTACTGGGCCCGCCTGCGTCTCCCCCTAATTTAACGTGCTTACCTGGAGCCTCCTTTAAGGCTACCTGAAACAATAACTTGCATGGGCAGGAAGCTCTCTTAATTTGACTTTGGGCTCTCTGTGTCCTTCAGAGAACCCCTTGGAAGGTTCATTGGTGGAACTGAGAATGGCGAATCGTGATTAGAAAGGTTAGGGCCATGTCCTTATCTCCTGTGGAGGCTGTCTCATCAGAACCCCTAACGTGGGTGTTCTTGGTCAACTTGGATTGTCAACTACAGGCTGAAAGAGTCTTCCTTTTCAACTCTGCTTGTACATGGTCTCAGTCCACTGGAGTTCCTCTCTTTTCTACTGGAGGTTTCTGAAGAAGAAGCCACATACACCAGCATTCAGAACATTTGCAACTTCTCTCCTTAGTTACAGGTGCCCTCAGCACATGGACTGCCTTCCGAGTGTCACAGGGGATGATAGTTTTACCAACTTTTTTGCTTTGCTTCAAGAAGAATAACCAGCTTTCCAGCCTGCAATGTCTGGATCCTTGCTGCTTGGAGCTCTACTCCTGGGCACCAGATTCTGTACTGGTTATTATATTGGTTTGGCTGTGATAAGAAAGGCCATTAACAGCAGCTTGAACTAAAAGAGGATTTCTTTCGATGAGCAGTGTGTGCATTGGCAAGTCAAGGCTGATATGGTGGCTTCACAGTGTCAGGGGTTCAGGCTTTTTCTATTATCCTGCTGTCCTTGACATATGGCTTCCACCTTGTAGTTTGAGATACGTGCTGCTGCTTCTACTGCCATTTCCACATTCCAGCCAGCAAGGAGGGGAGGAGGGCACGTCCTTTTCCTCTTAAGATGCACTTATCACTTCACTAGATTCTGTTGGCTGGAACTTAGTCACAAGACCATAATTAGCTACGGAAAGTGTAGTTTTTAGCCAGGCAGCCAGATGTCCCGCTGAAATTCCTAAATGTTGGAAGACTGGGGAATGGATATTCTCTACGACATTGGTACCGTCTCTAAATACTGTGCTCATATTATTCTTTTTCATATTTGTCAATTTAAGTTATTAATCATCAACTTCCTAGAGGAGGATTTGGCTTATATACACTTCTCCCCCTTCCTTCCCATGTGTTTATATCACAATTTTTAGTTGCTCTATACATTGCTTTTGCAACTTTTGTTTTGACGCATGTCCTTGCATTTCTAGTTCTTTTTCCATCAACTCTAGGCAATGCCTCTTGATGCCTCACTCTGTAAGATGATGTTCATTCTCTTGCCTTTTCTTACCCTCTGTTCTCCACCTCACCTCCCAACTTCTGGGAAAGCCAGTTGTGAAGTAGTCCGCCATGGATGTCGTCACACCTCCAGGCTCTGCTGAGCCCACAGGGAAGGGCTGGGTCTTGGAGGAAGCTCCAATCTCTGGGTCAGACAGTAAGGGGAATGCCGCCTTTGTGTCCCGGTTGACAGATGTCTTGTTGTGATGGGGAAAGCACTGTGTGTATCGGGCACCTGCAGGGCAAGTCAGAGTCTACAGTAGCATTTCCTGAACCATGTGCCTTACAAAAGTGCTTGCTTCAGCAAGACATACTCTGCAAACAAAGGTGAATGAATAACTATACTCAGAAAATCTTGTATGCTTTATCAGTGCCCCCTACCTTTGGACTTTCACAGTGCACACCAACATGTTAACGCTCTGATAAGTCCTATAGCAAAGAAACTTCTTTGGGTGTTTTCCATTTATATTTGACCATGGAACCCTGTTTTCATTTGACACTTATTAACACTCCTGTGGAATTAATACACTGTGGGAGTTACTGCTCTAGTATAATGGTGACCGTGGTGAAATTGCTGGGCAGCTCGGGGGAGCTGAGTCTGCGAAGTCAGGGGCAGCATTTATACTGTCAGGCCAGCCCTGGTTGGATAGCTCAGTTGGTTATAGCATCATCCCAGTACACTGAGGTTGTGGGTTCAATCCCCAGTCAGGGCACACACAGGAATCAACTAATGAACGCATAAACAAGTGGAACAATAAATCGATATTTCCCTCTCTGCTTCTCTCTCACAAAAAAACAAAAACAAAACAATATGTAGTAAGGCCAGCATTCAGCATTAGAAGAGCCTGACCCCAGGGGCTAGGCCAATCACTCTGGGGCTTAAAACACAAGAGTCCTAATACTAAGAGGAACTTTTCCAGACTACCAGGCTTAGGGTGGGCCTGTGAGCCAGGCTTCAGGGACTGTGTGCCATCATCTTGGGAGCTTAGGAGCAGGAATCAAGGGAGAGGCAGAGTGTCAACGCTGTGGCTTCCAGCTGAAGATGGTGTGTCTACCATCACTGCTGAGCTCAGGAGCTAGTTAAATGCCACCAAAAGCAGACCTAGGAGCTGAGCCTATTCATGGTTGGGGTCAGATTCCTCTAGGTCTGAGGATAGAGTCTAGAAACCAGGTGTGCTTCACCTGTGAG